GCCTTTACGGGTGTTTGCTTTCCAAATGTTTACCCAGAGCCTTTGTTTAACCAGGTGCCTGCGTAAAGAGGAGCGGGCTGGAGATGGTTATCAGCGCTGGTGACTCCCACGGCAGCCTCGGATGGGACAGGGAGAGACGGGGCTGTCCCTGCCCTCCCACAGCCCCCCCGGTCCTCCCCGAGCACTGGGGAAAGGGAGCCCAGAGCATCCTCGGGGTGTCCCCCCCGTGCTGTCCCCCTTAACGCCCACACATCCCAGTGCTGTGCCCTGTCCGATCCGGCCCCCCCAGCACCAGCAGGACGCAGGGAGGGGGTGGAAATCTGTATTAGGGAACGCACCCGGCCGTGCCGAGGTCACTGCCACCCGTCCCCAAGCCCGGGCGTTCCCCCCCCTCCACGGGGGGACATCTCCCCAGCCTGCTCCTGCCCCCCATGGGGAAGCCACCCCCGGGAGCTCCTTCCTCTTCCTCACGCCACCCCTGTCCCCTCCCTCCGCTCACAACCTCCCGGTCGGCGTGGGGGGACCGTGCCCACCGCCGGCTCTCACCCCCACAGGTCCTCGCCAGCCTTCGGGTGCCACGGGAGGAAGAGGAGGAGGGGGAGCCGCAGGGCCACGCAGCAGCCCCGCGTCCCCGCGTGTCCCCCATGCGCCGGGCGGGCCAAACCCCCCACCCGGCGGCGCCCGCCGCGCTCACACGATGCGCAGCTCGTCCGCCTCCGACAGCCCGTACTTGGTCTTGTTCTCGTTGAAGAGCTTGAGCAGGGAGCGGACGTACAGCTCGTGGTACATGTCCACCGTCTCGCGGCTCGGGTCCTCGATTTTGGGCACCGTCACCGGCTCGCCCACTGCCGGGAAGGGGGGAACCCGCTCAGATCACGGGGCAGCGCTCAGCTCATCGGGGCCACGAGCTGGGTTGTGCCTTCCAAAACCACCCAGGGCATCCTCCTCCTCCTCTCCTCCTCCTCCCCGCGCCCTCAAACCCGCCGGAGGTGCTCACCCACGGTGGTGATGGGCCGGGCGTAGGGCAGGAAGCCCCGGGACCGCACGGAGGTGAGGCCCCTGCCGTAGAAGACGCAGGGAGCGAAGCCCATCATCTTCTGGAAGCGCTGCTGGATGCTCCTCATCCAGCTGCCCTCCTCAAACACCACCTGGCGGAACAGGTCGTTCTCCCCGAAGGAGAAGGAGGGGACGAGGTAAGCCCTGCGGAGAGGAGGTGGCACGAGGTGAGGGGACGCCGGGACCCCGCTGCTCCCCGCCGGCGGCACCCGTGCTCACCCGTGCTGCAGGGCCATGCGGACGAAGCCCTTGCGGTTCTTCAGGATGAGCGTGGTGATGCCGGGCCGGCACGAGAGCGACTCGGCCGCGCCGCCGATGACGATGGCCACGGCGTTGCCGGTGCCGTTCTTGGAGAGGAGGTACCCGATGGCACGGCGCGTCACGGGGCACAAGCCTGCGGCGGGGAGGGCAGCGCCGAGCTGAGCGCAACGCCTGCGGGGACTGGGGACCCCGAGAGGGACCCCGCACGGCAAAGGGGTCCCCCTGCCCGCGGGTGCTGCCCCCAGCTCACCCCCGCTCATCAGGTACTCCCTGAAGAGGGGCAGGCGGAAATTTCCAGCCAGGGTGGTGAGGGAGGGCCGGATGCCCGGGAACATCTCGGCGAAGCCGGTGGAGCCCGTGACGAAGTTGCAGAAGGCGCCGACGCAGAGGATGCCGTGGGGGTGGGAGCCGATGATGTAGTTGTGGCTGGGGGACAGCTCGTGCGTCTTCACCAGCTGCGGGGGCAAAACGGGGCTGGGGCAGTGGGCACCAGGGCGCCAGGAATCGGTCCCCAGGGCAGCACCGCGTGCTGCAAGCAGGGGACACGTGGAACAAGGAGCCTGGCCCGGCACGGGCATCCCGGTGCCTCCTTTTGGGTGTGGGCATCCCCACCCGGCACCCCGCTCCGTACCTTCACGGGGAAATAATCCCGAAAGTGCCTCCACACCGGCCATCTCCGCAAGCACGGCAGCCTCCTGCCACCTGCAAACCACACAGGGACGGGGTAAGAAGGGCCCATCACGGCAAGCTGACTGCTAAATAATTGGCGTGGACCCTGCTGCATCCCTCCTTCTGCCATTTTTGTGGCAGAAACGGGGGTGCCCCATCCCTCCGTACCTTTCTCCGGCGTGTCCCAGTCAAAGATGACCCAGGCCAGGTAGAGCGCAGGAGATGGGCCAGAAGCTGGTGAAGACCAGGTAGACGAGCAGCAGCAGGCTGACGGTGCCTGCGGGATGGGGACGGGGATGGGTACGGGGATGGGATGGGTGAGCCGGTGCCTGGCCACCCCCGCCGCCCCCCACTGGCCCCACTCACCCAGCAGCAGGAAGCTGAGCACCCACTGCAGCACGGCCAGGAGCTGGAGCCAGGCGCGCACGTCCCGCTGCGAGGGCCAGGGCACGGCGAGCAGGGTGCGCAGGGTGGCCAGGAGGCTGGCACGGCTGCCTGCGGGGACGGGACGGCTCAGAAGTGGCCCCGTGGCCACCCCGGTGCGGAGACACCGAGCTGGGGGTGGCCCCGGTCCACCCAGGTGCTGGATGGGCTGGGGGATGCCCAGCCCTGAGGCCAAAATCCACCCCCCAGCAGTGCCAAGGACAGCAGGTGAGGGGTGAGGCAGGGGAGGGGTGGCCGTCCCCAGCTCCAAGCCCCCGCAGGGCCAGCACGGCCCCGCTCGCTCCGGCTGGCCCTGGTGAACCATTAACAGCCCCGGCGGGGTGCCAGGATCCAAACTCCACCGCACGGCCCCATCCCTCCTCCCCGAAATGAGCCCGAGGAGCCTGTCCTGACGGGCAAAGGTCTGGAGAGCGCCTCAATGGCACGCAGCGGGGCTTGGGAAAACAACCCAAAATCTCTCAGAAGAGACGCACTGGGGCAGGAGGGGGGGGGACGGAGCTGTCCCCATCCAGGCCGGCCACCAGTCCCCGGGGGGAGCAGGCTCAGCTCATCCCAGCTCAAACCCAACCATCAGCGGGGCAACTGGGATGAACAGAAGGCCAGAGCCATCCCCAGCGGGGAACGATGGGCTTCCCTCTTCCCAAAGCGCTGGCCCCACTCCGAACACCCCCCTGCTCCACCACGAACACCCCCCTGCTCCTCCACCTGCCCAGAAATCCTCCAGCCCCGTGGTTTTAACTTGCCCAAAACCCGTGATGTTTACAGCAAGGACACAGCTCTGCCCGGCCCAGCTGTGCCTACCCAAAAGTTGAATTTTTAGACATTTTCATGGAGCCTCCCCACACCCAAAGCACTCCACAAATCTCCAAGACCACACAACGAAAGCCATCGACCGAGCCCAGCAACTGTGCCAGTCCCCAGCTACCCCCGGAGCCTCCTCCGAGGATTTTGGCCTCCGTGGCTCTGGGCACCGTGGGGACCCGGAGGAGAATTCGCAGCATCTCGCAGGAGGAACGTTTCCTACCGCATGGTCGGCATTAACTTCAGAAATCCCACTCCCGTTGAGTAACTTTGTGCTTTCCTCTGGTGCCACTAACCCCAAACTGCCCCAAACACCCCCCTTCCCCCCAAGCAGTTGAAAGCAAAGAGCCGACAGTGACAGCAAGGAGCCGACACAGCGCCGGAGCGTGAGGAGCCCTCAAACACGCTTCGGGTATTTCTTACCGCTCAGATTTTGGGAGCAGGCTGTGATGATCGTTTTCATGGTGGCGGGGAGCTCTGCTCCAGAGCCCAGCTCAGCAGGTTAAAAGGCAAGTTTGGAAATCCCAGCGGCGATTGATCGCTGGTCCAGCCTCGGTGACCGCCCCGGCCGAGCCGAGGGAGGCTGCACGCACGGAGGGGAGCGCAGCGGAGCCAGACGGAGGGTCCAGGACAAATCCTGGGGTCTTTGGGAGGAGGAGAAGCCACGCAGAGCACCGAGGAGCCCCCAAAAAGGCAGCTTGGACGTGCACAATTAGCAGGGCTCCTCGTTGGTGCCAGCAGCCACCGTCCCCCAGGGAATGGTAGCGTCCGTGCCGTGGGTATTTCACAAACCGCTGCCACGCTCCGACGGTGTGACGCCCTCGAGGGACGCCCCAAAACGTCCCCCCTGTGCTCTGTGGGGTGGGACGCAGCCTGGCGAGCCGGCCAGCGGCCAGGGCCAGCACCGTGCCCTCCTCTCCCACCCACCTTGGCAGGCTGGCGAGGTGCCTGGGGACACAACCTGCTCCAGCAGCTCACCAAACAGCCGTCACGGCGAGCCGTGGCTCTGGCTGGAAAACAGGCAGGTGAGACTAGAGGGGTTGGGGGTAACTAAAGCAAAAAAAATAGGAGAGATCCACTGCAAAAAGAGTGAAGAAAAAAGAAGCAAAAGCAGCAGAAGCATCACTGAGGGAACTGAAGAGCAGCTGGGATGGCTCCGTGGCTGTGTGTAAATGTCTAAGCTCTCCTCAGTCCAGCTGGCTGCTCAGGTGTGCCTGAATCATGCTAATATGAAGGAAAAAAAAAAGCTGAGTGCTTTCCATTTTTAATGTTCCTTGCATTTTTAACAGGTTTAGAACAATCTCAGCAGCAGCTGCTGGCCCACAGCTGGCAGGCACAGAGCTCCCCGCAGCAGTTCCTCCGTTGCTCACCCGGCAGTGGCAGTGCCACACTCTGGATGGGCGCAGGTACAGCACAGCCGTCGTGCCCTCTCCTCTGTCAGTCGAGGAGCAGCACCAGCTGCACTTTAAGCTTGTTTGGAGGACTGCAGACACAGTTTTCACCCCTTCAGGTGTAGTATCAGTATTTTAACACGTTGCCCTCAAAATATCTGCGCTGTTTAACACAAAGCTCCCCAAAGCTCCCAAACCCTTCATTCCGCCAGCCTGGGGAGGAAGGGGATGATGAGGCTGTGGAAAGGCCACCAGTAGCCCTGGCCAAAGTAAGTGGCCATCTGACATTTGCCACCCCCAACTCCCAGCAACCAGCCCCGCACATTTCCTCTGAAAGGAACAAAAAAAAAAACAACAAGGGATTTTCACAGCAAGAACTAGGCAGAACAAGAGATTTTATTTAGTCTAAAATATAGAGGAAAAAAAATAAATACATCCACCAACAATACAAAGAGAAGTTTCCAAATTCATGTACTTTTCTTTCAAGGACTTCCTCTGACTGGGAGAGCAGAGGCAGTCTGGCCCCTCAGACAGCGCCCCGCTGACAGGAGCTCTGCGGTGCCACTGTCCATGACGAGCTCGCTCTCAGTCTGACATTTCATGTAAACCAAAGCAAATTGTCGCGTTTACTCCTCCGACTCCAGTGACTCCCAGAGAAGCCAAGGACACCTCTGCGTATGTACAGTGCATTTATTCCTATATCGCCAAGACACATGGCAATTCTTACAGGATTTCCAGGCCCTGCTCTCTGCTGCCACAGCGTCAGCCCATGTTCTGCCGATTGCCGTAGCCTCTCGGGTGTGTATCTTTCCAGTCATCCCAGTCTCGAGCTTTTTGAAGAGCTTCCTCATCGTCCTCCTCCTCCTTTTTCTCCTGCTGCTGCTTCTGCAACTCTTCATCAGCTGTATCTGCTGAAGGTCAAGAACGAGAGTGAGGGACAGTAAGACAACGGGAAATGACAAGCTGGGGTCTCCGAACAGAATCCCTCCAGGAGTCAGCCTAAACAACGCAGGAAATGCCAAGGAGCAGCCAAGCAATCCGTTTATCCTCAAAGCCTAGTAGAGAAAGCCAGAGGGTATTTTACACCCTGAACACATCCCCCACTCACCATTCTCCTCAAGAGGGTTCACGAATTCTCTATTTCCATTTTTGCCCTACCCCTCCTTACCTGATGGCTTCTGAGGTGCACTCTGACCATGCATTGCTTCTTCCCTTCTGCGCTGGTCATACCAATCATTTACGGTCATAGTTGGGAGGCTGGGATAGCCAGCACCAAACACCCTGCAGGAAGAGAGAGACGGTCAAGGGAGGCACTTCACAACCTGTATGAATTGCAGAAACACCAATACCAGTGCACAGAACTACCCCATAGATCTCCAATTTGTATTGATAACAGGAGGCGTGTTACCACAAAGACTTTGCCCAAGGAGGTTATTTCCACAGTCTGGGCCATCAGCAGCAGACTGCTCAGTAACACTGCCAGGATAGCACTGCAGGAGTTAATTCTGCTGCTTTAGAGAGGCAAGGACTGCTTTGTTCCAAAGATCTCGAAATATTTGTCCAATCCCTAGAAGAATGCTGTCCGCTGGCTCAGCTTGCCCATGAGGACACCGAGAACTGAATCAGGCACAGCTTAGCTAAAGAGGTATCTGTAACCCTCAAGTCAGATAATGTCAAAACCACAAGAAATCTGTTTTCTAGCCCATTTTGTGCTTTAGCTGCTGTATCACCTGCAAGAATCTCATAGCACCATGAGGTGCTGAGATCTTGTTACCCTAGGGAAAGCCCTATAGTAAAAAAAATTTAAGTAACAGGCTATTGCAACTGGTGGCCAGGCGGGTACCACATCTTCTCAGCCCCAAAGATGACTAATTTCAACCCACCAAAATCCTCCAGAGTTTACATTAGATTAAGCGACTACATGTGCTTTTCTATGTCATGCTCTTTATTTTAAGAGCAAAGAACAATCCTGTTATATCACATCGAGGTTAGAGGGGCAGAGAAGCCTTGCCTCTTCCACAGCTTACTAAACAGCAAGCGCATGGCCTATAAACTAACGCAGTAATACTTCAGTATGGTCTCCTCTTCTGCCACCCCAACAGAACAACCAGCATTAGCTGAGACTCTGAAGCATGCTGGTAACAGAAGAAATGACAGAAAGTGGAAGAAACGTGTTAGAAGTTTCCCCGTCCCCTGCCCAGATGCACAACACATGCAATCTCGATGCGACACGCTGCCTGATGGTAACGACTGTGCTTCTGCCTTTGAAAGAGTATTTTGGGTTTGACATGGGAACAGAGCGCTGCATTACACCGCGTTAGAGTAACCAAAAATAAACATACTTAGACTGAACAACGTCCCGGGTAAGAATGAAAGGTTTCAGTGGAGCTCTGACTTGCCGGGAAGTACCGTGAGGTGGTGCTGAAGACTGAAATCGCAAACAAGAGTCACAAAATAATCACGTAGATAGAGTCCCCTTCTTGGCTTCCCACCCCTCAGACAAGTTACTAAGGGTCTTGTAGAAAAGAGATGCCTCTGCTGTCAGAGCAATGCCCCAAGACGGACAATTCAGCCCTTAATCCAGTTTAAATCATGAACTCCATCTGTGAGCTTCCACAAATCACTTCTCTTTGTGCCTTTGTTACACCCGTTCCGATCAAAGCAGAAAGCTGACAGAGCTAAACCAGATCAGCTCAGATCAAAGCATGAAATACAGCTTATTTTTTCCATGGATCAAACACAGTACACTCTGAAGCAAGTAGAGCTCATCATTCACGAAGATATCACCCAGGGCACTACAGAAGAGCAGAGCTCTGCAATGCCAGCAATGAATTGCACAAACCAGCCGTGCCAGCAAAGCTGGACTATGGTACACTTAGGCACATTATTATTAATCTTTTAATTCTAGACAGATGTTCTAGGTGAGAAGCATAAAGCCCAGAAACACTGTGCCACACAAGATTTGTTTTCCTCATACAGAACGGGCATGTTTTTTCTGTAACATCACGATGTTCTGTAGGTTAGAAACGTAGCCTTGAAAGAAAAATATCACCAGGATCTTGTTTTAAATGACAAATGTATTTAGTTCTTTAGAGTTAAGGGTCTGGCACAACCCAGCAAAGCAGAGAAAAGCCTCTGCACACAGATCAGTTCAGCTCTGATGTTCAGTGCTCGAGCATTTTACATGCTGTGACTATCTAGGACGTGCGACAGCACCAGACAGGCACTAATGCAAAAATCAGACCACTGGCTGTTCGGAACTAAACCACGCCCTGTCCATTTATATTGTGCATGAGCTAGACTTCAACCTGGAATTCACAGCACAAAACTTCGGAAACTCTGCTAATGAATTGTTCTGAGGTTCATTTACCCACAACAGTGTCTGTCATCAGGTCTAACCACTCAGAGTTCACAGGACCTGCAGGACAGAGCTATCTCATACCTGTTTCGCTGCATCTCTGTTCCTCAGGATTACCATTTCATGGTCAATGCTCTCGATTTCCTCAAAGCTGATGTTGACCCATTTCTGGATTTGCAGTAGGTAGAATTCCCGCATCTGATCCTCATCTGCCTGCCCACTGTCCACAAAGGTTCTCATAGAGGCCAGCCTGTTCTCCAGTTCCTTCTTTCGCTTGTACCTGGCTCAAAGAGAATTAAAGGACGTAATTTCAGTAAACTTTCTCTAGCATGGCACAGATACAGTCTGTGTAAGAGCTTTAAGAGCTTTTTTTTTTTACTTTCACGTGTTTCAAATGAAAGTTGCATACAGAAAGGTAGGTTCTGATGACTTACTGATCTAATTTACGAAGCTCCTATTGTTAAGAAGTTTTGGGAAGACAATTTAAATTTAAAGACAGGGCCCCTCCCAATTATTTTCTTTGTGCTAAGAGGCCAGCAATCCCAGCTGAGGATTGCTGACACAGAGGACATCCAAGAGAAAGGACACAGCACACAAGCGTTGTTCTATAAAATAGACTCATGCTCAATAACTCCACAGAGAACCCTTAAAAATACATCTTAAGCACGCGAGCATCTGCCTGTGCTGCTGAGGGGCAAAGCAAACCGCTCCCTTCTGGGCTGCTGGCAGCAGGGCAAAATCTCTGCAGTCAGCCACTGAGAAGGGCAGCTGGGACGAGAGCTCTGGAGCTGGTGTGAGGATCCAGGCTGTCAGAAAACGGTGATCTTGCTAACCCACCTGGGTTACTTTTAGGACAGAAGCTGTGTTTTGGTATTTATGCAATTTAAAGCGTTCTCAAGGCCATCCTGGGCCTGTCAGCGTCACTGCACAAAGCAACAGTTTGCCTGCCACAATCCTCATCCCAAACATGACGGAGGGGCATCGACGGCCCCTGAATTAAAGCTCAGAGGAGGACATTTGGAGGAAGCTTCCAGCCTGGGCGGCTTCACAGAGCTTGTTATTAGGGAGCTGACTGCGAGGAGCTTTTGTGTGACCCCTCTCTGAGGACCGGGCGCCACCGCCACAGCCCCCGCCACATCCCCACGCCCCCCGCGCCACCCCAACCCACTGAGGGACCATTTTAACGCCTTGAACTGCGTTCAGCCCCGGCCTCTTTGCCCTGCTCACCTCTCGATCTTGGCCTGCCGGCCGGCTGCCATAGCCAGCAGGCTGCGCTGGGCGGCGGGGCCGCGGGCACCGGTGCGGGCGGCCTCCTTCTCCTTCTCTCCTCCTCTCCTCTCGGTCCCCGGGGCGGCGGGCGGCGGGGCGGCGCTGAGCCCGTAGGCCCGGCAGAGCTGCAGGAAGCGGCAGAAATGGGCCCGGGCCGCCTCCAGGTGCTCCCGCCGGCGGCTGGCGTCCACCTGCCGCAGGGTCAGGGCGCCCAGCAGGGCGGGCACCGCCAGGTACCTCAGGTCGGCCGACGCCACCTCCTCCAGCTCCTCGTTCTCGCTGCAAGGCACAGCCCGGCGTCAAGCCCCCGTTTCAGCCTCCCGGTGTCACCCCCGTCCCCACCGCCTCCTCCTCCTCCTCCTCCTCCTCACCTGAAGAGCTCCAGCTCCGCCACCATAGCGGCCGCCTGCCGCAGCGCGCCCAGCCCCTGCCGCACCTTCTCCTGCACGGACGGAGCCCCCGAGGACGGCTCGGTGCCGGCATCCACCTCCTCCCACAGCCGCCAGCCCGTGGCCAGCAGCTCCGGCAGCCGCGCCCCGCCGCCGGGCAGCTCCGCCATGACCGGCCCGGCTCCGAGCTCCCCCCTCAGCCCCGCCGCTTCCGCCCGCGCCCGCCCCCGCCCCCGCCGCCATCTTCGTGAGGGCGCCGCCGCCGCCATCTTGGTAGGGGCCCGAGGGGCCCCTGAGGGAAGGGGGGGGGGGGGTCCGAGCTCGGCCAAAATTGGGCTCCGGGCAGAGCAGCAGGACCGAGGAAGTGTCCAAATCACAACATTAAATCAAAAAAACAGAGTCATAGTGAAGCAGACAGTGCTGGTCCCCTTCACCTCTTAGCCCCCCATTTACCCCAATTTACACCGCCCCCATAAAGCAGCAGATCCCTGGTCTGTTTAATTAATAGCATTAAATAATGACGCACACAAATTTCTCATCCTGGACCACATGGACCTGGGTTGCTCCAAGCCCCTCTGATCACCTCTTTGACTTTCCTCCGCTATCCGCACCTCTGCAGATCGTTGTTTTGCAGGTTTGGTTGTTGCTTGTTTAATGCTGCGAGCCTCTTTCCATTAATCTTACCAGTGAGTCTCTTTCCATTAATCTTAAAATTAATCCATTAATCTTAAAAAATTAATCCATTAATCTTAATCTTAAAAATGCAGCAGAAGGCTGGAGTTTGTCTGCACAGCACAATGCAGCGCCCTGCATCAGGAGCCAAGCTGGAATTAAATGCATTGGCTCCAGAAACATGAAATAGCAGTGCAATCAGCAGTGTCCTGCCAAGCCCAGCCAAAGATCGTGCTAATGAGCCACCCTGCCCCAGAACCCCGCTCTGGTATCTCTGCAGGGTGCTCAGCTCCCTTCCTCGGGTGTGTTTTGCCCATGCGGCTGCACCAGAGGGAGCCAAGCCATCGCTAGCCTAGGGTCGCTCCGTGGGGTCCCCAAAGTCACTGCTGTCACAAAAAGGCTCTCCCAGGTGCTAGGGCAGGAGCTCTGTCTGGGAGGGTAGGTCACACATGGTCCTCTCCTACTCTTGGGAGAGCCTCGGCAGCCCCTTAGGACGTCAAGGCTGGAATTCACTAGGGGTTTGTGCTGCACACAGCTATCAGTGCATAACATGGGATCAGAACTTGGCAGACCATCCAGGCAACACAGTGCACAGCATGGATGCTCCGCAGAAAAGTCCTACATTTTATTATTTAAGTACAGCGCCCACCATTTCATCTCCATGTGTTGTTTTTATAATAAAAGTAGGATAAGGACCCTCTACCGTTTCTTTTTTGGTTATCTCCTGAGTCCCTTTTGACAGTATCTCTGAAATTAAAACAGGCATCAGACAGGTAATGGTTAAAGCTGGGCTTTTACAAGCTGACGTGCAGAAACACAATACAAGTTAATGACCTAGATGTGAAAAATTTATATGGTGTGATAATAATTCAGGGCAGGCTGGAAGCACTCAACTTCCACAGATGAGTCAGTTTATGACTTAATCTGTTTGTTTCCCTCATGCGCACATGAGATAGCTTGATAAAAAGTTAATCGTAAAAGATAGAGGAGTTGTGGGTTTAGGTTCCTTTATGCCGTGTCCCAAGTACGCCCTGACGGATTTGCTCTCCTGTCATCCTCCTTCCATGTGACCGTTTTGCTCAGACTGAAAGCGCAGGCACCAGTAGTATGAGATATGTCAACAGTTTAACACATCATTCTGTGGTATTCCTGCGCACCAGGCAGGAAGCGAAGAACCACGCTGCGCCCAGCAGTGGAAAAAATAATTAATATAATAATTGGAAGTAGAATGAGGACAGGAAATCTACAGCCGTTTTTCCTTCACCAGCAGAAGATGCTATGACACCCCCAGCAATTATGGCCAGTTCACCTTCATCAGAGAGGCAACGCTCCAGTCTGTGCAGCATCTTCCCTCCTCGCATGCATTAGTTAAAGTCAACAGTAATCCTATCAAATCATTCCCCCACCTCCCTTCCCAAGCTTTTAAGATTCTAAATTTCAACAGCATTTTTGAGGATCAGAGCAAAAGACACTGTTGGAGTGAACTCCTTCAGTGCCTTAGCCTTTGCGTTACCCAGATAGCCTCAGCAGTTATGGGATTACCCTGCCTATAGGATATCTCTGTTTAATCTTGAGCAAACATCTCCTTTGGGCATTCTTCCTTGAGGCCTTCACCTCTCAGAGCAAGCCAGATAGGTTCACAGGGAGCTATTGGCTTGCTCTCCAAATCATTGTGAATAGGCTGATGATGCAGCACGGACCTCAGCCCACTTCCCCTTCCCTTAAAACTGGAGGCGGGGTGGTGGTGGTGGTGTCAGCTTTGACCCAGATTATCAGGGGCAGCACAGGACAGGCCTCGAGCCACACGTTATCACTGCTCAGCAGACAGGCTGGACTGAGGGAGCAGGAAATCTATGTGAGGCTCTGTTTCCTTCGAGATGGAGAAGGCTTTGCTTGCAAGAGCCAAGTCGGTGAACCTGTCAGCTGGATGGAAGTTCCTGCATCTCCCTGCTAGCAGTTCATTAGCCCTGTTTTTACCTGCTGTCCCAGCTGGTCAAGAACAGGTTTCTCTTATACCACAGAGGCATGAAATCAGTAAGGGCCAGTGACCAAATTACCTGTCGTCTGCCTGCTCTTCAGCCCCAGCATAAGGAACTGCAGGCACCCACACATGTCGTGGGCTCATGGGCTTGTGGCTGCTCCTGCTGTGGAGAGGAGGCTGCTCCCTCTGAACCCAGCACAGCCACTGCAACAAGCGCCCTTCAAGCTATGCCCAGGGGCCCTCAGACTGCAGTCTGGTTCCCCCTCTGGTCTCATGGCTGTTACTCACCTACGTTCATTTGTCCCAGTCTCTCAGCTGAAGATCCCCATGAGGGCAATCCCTACTATTACTTATCATCCTCAGGACATCCTGAGGAACACCCCAGAAATAAAGGAGAAGAGAGATGCAAGGGAGTTTCCTTAGATACAAAGCCTTTACTCATGCTTGTGTCTTGTGGTGCGAGAGTGGAGGCGCCAACCATCCCAAAGGTCAAAGTAACATCCCCCAGATATTTACAGCACTGCAGACGTTGATCAACAGCTCAGCACTGAGGCAGTGGCCCCACCGTGCGTCTTCTCCTTGTTCTAGCTCAGGTCTCCTTGTGACGAGCAGAAGGAAAGAGAAAAGAAAGAGAAATATCCCAACATGTCCTAGTGTCACTCTTACCCCCAAACTTTTGCTTATTTACCAACATCTTGTTGCCTTGGCTTGGATTATCCTCCTGGAATAAGTTATGCAGCATCTCTACCGGTATAAATAATAATAATAAAAAAAAAAGTGCTTTATCAATGAGGTCAAAAGAGCCCATGAAGATCACTCTCCTTTCTCCAGACTTCATTGTCTGCACAATCTGACCAGCAGGGAAGGATCACGTTCACACCAGCGTTACTCCTTTCAAACACAAATTAAAAGTCGAGTAGTAACTACAGGCAGGCTTTGCAGAGCAAACCCTTTGCCCGGTTCTCACCACATTTCATGCAGAGGGCTGGTTTTCTTTTGTGCACAGGCCACATTCAGAGCCATGTCTCCCATGTCAGCTCACAGCACCAGAAAGTGAAAAACTTCTGCCACCACCATAGAGAATTCAGCTCTGGGATTCTCATTTCCAGCGACAGATAAACAAAAAGCCACAAGACCCAGGGAAAAATGGCTAGTGACAGGAAAGTCAAAGAGGTAGATCCGTCACATTAGCAGCGAGCCCGACGAGGGCTCATGAAGCAGAGGGTAATGACAGCAGCCTACCACAGCCTGGAGAGGACTGATTGTGAAAGTGGGGCAAGAAAAACATGCGAGGATGTGTCTGAAGGGCTGCAAAGCCATAATTGTTACGGAGATCCTCCCGGTGTCACGGACAGTGCTGTCACCGTGCCCAGGTTTGGTCAGGTCCTGAAGAGGTACCTACCAGAGCCTGAGATGTTTTTTTGGGGGACTGAAGTTGCAGACAGCTAAAGAAAGACCCGCTAGCACTGATTTATTTCGCTGGCAGTGCTGCACTGACTAGTGCTGGAAGCCACCCAAGGGCGATGTCAGGGGCCAGGTTTTCCCATCTTTTACCTTGGAGGGTGCTTGTGCTGGCCTGTGCCAGGGGTCAGGGCTCTGTGCTCCCCTGGCAGCCTTTATGCTAGCTTCCCTGCCGGCAGAGTTGGAGAAAATACATCCAGTCAGATGGATCCCCTCAGCCCGCGGGGCCAAGTGGGTGGTTTATTCCCCCCGGACCCACTGCCGGATATTAATTGCCTTGTTCTGGCTCTCAGTCCCTGGGAGACTCTTCCAGCCCAGCAGATCTCACAAAGCTGGTGATTCCAGCTGCGGGCCCAGATTGCAACGCTTCCCCCTCTAAACGTTGTCACTTCGCTGTCACCTCCCCACCGCAGCCCCTCCTGCCAGCCTGACCCTCGGCACCCTTCTGATAATTACAGCACTTCCCTGCTGCCCGCAGGACGTCAGCAGAGTCCAGTGCCCCCCCTGCACCTCGACCCCTCCAGCTCGTCCCTGGGCCATGCAGGCAGCCGAGGAGCAGAGGGCTCTGCATATTCAGCCCTTGCTCCTGCCTTTTCCCAGGCAGAAACTCAAACAGGACCTCTCCAGGAGGGGATCGCGACATCTCCCCGGGGCGTTCCTCCCTATTGTGGCTCCTCTCCTCTGCCCCAGGCGCTGTGTGTTTGGAGTTACCAAATGCAAATCACATTTCCCACCCTCCTGGCTGGCTCTCTCCCTCCGCAGTGGCCTTTGCCTGTTTTCTTCTCCCCAGCTCGTTTTGCAATGCCCTGGGGAGCTGGGGGGGAGCTGGCAGCCCCTCCTGGTTTCACCTCCCTCTGATCCGGCCCTGCGGCGCCTTTGGGGTGCACAACCCTCCTAACGAGGTACCTGCACCCTGTGTGCTCCGCCTGGCTCTGGGCACAGAAACCACAGCCCTTCCGCAGCCCAGCATCCCTTTTCCGAGGAATGCTGGTGACTAACTCCTAATTGCATTTGAAGAGAAGCTGCAGAGAGCTTCGTGGCCTCGCGCAGCTGTGGCGGAAGCCTCGCAGCTGCGGCCTTGCTGTCACCCTGGGAAGGCTGCGTGTCAGCAGCCCCAGCAAGTCAGCGGCACATTAACAACTGATAATGGTAGTTAACTCGCTTAGTTAGCTGTGTGAGCATCTGCTTCACCCCTGAGCATTTCGGCTTCCAGCTCCCAGGCTCCTCTCGAGCCACCTTGGGCTCCCAGCTATTAGTCATTGTTAATAAGGAAACCTGGAGCACATTAAATGGAGGGGATGGTTTACAGTAAAAGCTTATGAATTGATTCTGTGACCCAGCAGAGGCTGTTAAAAATGATTGAGTGAATATGGAAATGAGTAATCTTACAGCTGGACTCGGGGCTGAGCGCAGCCAGCTCCATTCAATACAAACCACAAATAACACAAGGCGCACGCAAAGCTGGCCGAGGCTCTCGGGCACGGTGGGAGCTGCAGGAAACCGGCCTGGGACTTCGGTCACATTTACCTGAGCCCCTCACGCTGTGGGTTCTCCTCAGCACGTGTGCGTTTAGGCTCGGCCCTTCTCTCCAAAGGCTGCACGAACTGGAAACTCTTATTCCATCCGAGCACTTGGCCAACCCCTGGGCTAAAAGCAGTCGAGGCAACAGGGGGAAGTGACAGGCAGATCGGGACCCCATCCGTGAGGCACACTTGTTTAGTCCAAACTACAGGCACTGGGATCAGGAAATAAGCCCCAGCTGCCTCAGTTTCCAGCTACCAGAACTTTTATGCTTTGTGCTTTAGGGTCTCCTCCCGGGCTCATTTTCTCTGTGCATGGCAAGGAGCTGGAGGGAGGTGGGCTTAGGAAATAGAGGTCTGTCACAGAGGGGAACGGTACGATAGGTTTATTTAAAAAGCACACATCAGAACAGAATCCTGCTTACACCAAGTATGGAGACAAAATGTTTGTTCTGGTGTCCCTGGGGCCCTGTCCTCTCTCCAGGCCAGTGCCAGCTCGCCTGGTATCAAAGGGGTCGGAGGAGTGGGCTGAAATCTCCTCGCTGTGAGAGGTTGTAGGGGGGACTGATGGGCTCTGGCTCCTGGAGCCATACCTGGTTCTGCCTGCGTCCCAGCCATGTCGTTCCAGATGCTGCAGAGGGCACTGGAGCAGTGTTTGCCCACCAGGAGGTTTTAATGGTGCAGAAACCTGCTGCCAGGGGAGCTGCCCGTGACCCCCTCACCCTACGCAGTTTTCCTCCCCTGCAGCCTCCTCCCGCCGGGCAGCTCGCTCCCCCCTGCCCATCCATCACTCCTGGCTTTCAGGCCACTGTCAAAAACCTCCCGCGACAAGACAATGGCAGCCCAGGGTCCCCATTCACCCCTGGAGAAAAGGGCGAAGTGATAAATGGACGGTCCCCAGCTGGAGACGGGCGCTGGATGCCCCCGCTGTGCTGCGGGAGGGCAGCCCTTTGTCTTGCTCCAGGCAGAGGTCGGGCTCGGGGTTTCGGCTTCCCATCATCGCTCAGTTTGGGGTTTTCCATGGCAATGCTGCAGCCCAGGCTCCCAGCGTGGTCCCCTCCTTGCCGAATTCGGCGCATCCCCAGCGGCTGCTGCCCAGTCTCCAGCTGCGCCCCGGGGGAGCCCTCCTGTGCCCCGCGCCACCCCAGGAGCTATTTGCAGACGTATTTCTCCACCAGCCGCCGGCACCTCTTGCACACCACGTAGCAGCACCAGTGGTACTTGCAGTGGCACCTCTCCACCACCTCCTCCGTGTAGGCGTTGTAGCCGCGGCCGCAGCACAGCAGGTCGCAGCCCTCGCTGCCCACTGAGCTCTTGTTGCACTGCCTGCCCAGAGGAGAGAGGCGAGGGGTCGGGACCATGCCTGCCGATGCAAGCAGCGCTTGGGGCTGCGCAAAACCTTCCTCACACCCCCCTGCCACCACACAAAGGGATCGCCCCGACCGCCACCGAGCACTCCTGGTTCCACGTGCCGGATGGAAGCTGTGCCTGGGAGGCTGCCAGAGCGCATCTGCAGCAGTTCCTTACCTGTCCTGCGTCCCCACAGACCCCAGGGGGACGTTGGGCACGCAGTAGTCAGGGGAGTTGATGAGATAAACCAGATCCGTCTCCTTCAGCAGCCTGACGCCTGTTTCTTTGGGTACCAGCTGCTTCCTGGCCCCGACGAGCCGGTGGGTCACCCTGACGGCTGCCAGGTACTTGGACTTGAGCTCGGAAGCGATTTCGCCCAGGCCTGGCAGCCCCTTCCAGCAGGTCTTAACCGAACAGGAGCCCGAAACACCGTGGCATTTGCACCTGGTGTCCAAGGAGTCAGCTCAGCACCTGTGGAGGTTGGAAAGAGGATGAACTGTGCTGCCTGTGGCTGGTGCCCACCCCGCCAACTGACTTGGATGAGCATCCACAGGAAGTTTCAAGAGATGAAAGAGCTCTGCTGCCACCTGAGAGAGCTCCCTCTTGCTTAGGGGTGGAAGAAAACGATGCTACTGGGACAGCGGAGTGCCTTCTTTTAATAAATATTGAGGGGTGATAAGCACGTAACCCTTGGGAAGGGTTTGCAGGAGCTTGTGGTGGGCTGGCAACATTTTTTTGGGGGAGGAGGAGTAAGGGGAATGTCTCTGCAAACACATCTACCTCCAATTTAACCACGTGGGTGTCTCCTCACTCTAAGGACGGCACCCCCTGGACTGCCTGGGGTGTCCCCCTGTGGCTCAGCCCCCCTGCAGCAGGCAGTGGGGTCCCGGCGCACACCCACCTGCCTGCCCGCCGCACCGTTGTGCAGGTTGACGGCCCTGAGAGCCGTCCTGCCCGGCCCGCTGGACTTCACGGGGCTGTCGGCGAAGGCGGCGCCGAGCTGGAGGCCATAGCGCAGGTTGTCCCCGCAGCCACCCCATCGGAAATCGGGGCCGGCACCTCGGAGGGGGCAGAGCCGCAGGAGCAGAGGGGCAGCGAGCCCGAGGCGCAGGCTCGGGCGATGGCGTGGGCGACGGCGGCCGCGGCCAGGGCGTGCACGAAGGCGGACTCGCGGGTCCCTGAAAGAGAAGGAAATCTCGCGTCCCACAAGGGAAGGAGGCTTGTTTTGTTTCGTGCTTCCCGAGGGGAGCCCCCTTTACCTTTCAGCAGGTCAGGACCGAAGCTGGGGGCGCGCTGGATGGAGGAGCAGTTCCACCTCATGCCCTCGAAGGTCTTCTGGCAGGCGCTCACGGTCTCAGCGGCCGCCCGGACGACGCTGTGCATCACCTCCAGGTTCCTGCGGCACGTCTGGAAGTGCTCGGGCACCACCCCGGCCAGCAGCCCGCAGTGGTGGCTTTCGTCCCAAGCCACCCCGCTGCCGCTCTCCGCCAGCCCCCTGCGGGGAGAGGAGAGGGGAGAGGGGACCATGGGCACCGGGCTGGGGGCCAAGGGATGGGGACCACAGGTGACGAGCAAATGGGGACCTGTGGAGAGGGTGACAGGGGGCAGAGCCGCTGTGGGGGACCCCTAGGGAGCCCCCCATCCTTCCTTCCCCTTCCTCCCTCCCCCCTTGCGCCCCGTTACTCACAGCCACTGGATGGCCGCGGCGAGCCCCAGCTGGCAGAGCAGCAGGGTGGTGGGCACAGCGGGGTGGCCCATGGCTGGGGACAGGGCTGGGGATGGGGATGGGGCCGGGATCAGGGCCCCCGCCCCCTTTATACCCGCGGCGCTGCCGTCCTGCCCCCCGGGGAGGGGAACAAAGGCGGTTTCGGGGCCATTCACAGCTCACAGCCCTCGGGGAGGCTGCCCCAGCCCCTGTCCCCCAGCCTGGGGACCCTGCTCGTCCCCAGAGTGGCATCTCCTTGGGGAAAAAGCCACGGTGGCACAGCGCAGCTCCATGAACGTGGTGGCAGAGGGTGCCTGGGCTCTGCCCTGTGCCCCACCAACTTCTCAGCCCACTTCTCAGCCCAGCAGGGCACGGGGGAGGCCCCGGCACCGCAGGCGCTGCTCTCCCAGGGTGAGCGGATATCACCTTTGGCATCTCCAGGAGAGCCATTGGACTGCAAAGCAAACACGAGTTTCTTTGCTCAGCAGATAAAAACTTGTCCTTGCACGCAGGGGATGCTGGCAGGGGACGCAGGCTGGCAGGAGTCAGACAGGGATGACATTAGGAAAGGACAAAAGGGGTTGGCAAGGGCTGATGCTAATTTATCTCATTTTTTTCTCCTTATTTTCTTTGCTCAGAGCTTTAAAAAAAAAAATAAAATCCATTTTCCTGGACCCAGAGAGAGCAAAAGCCTGAGCCCCTCTGTCCCCACAGCCCCACGGTGACGGGGAGGACTCGATGGCAAGCAGGGCTCCAGATGTGCGCGGGTCAGCCAAGGGCACGGACGCTGCTCTCGGGGGCCCGGAGCAGCCCCAGCCCCCGGGGACAGCAGAGGGAAAGCTGTGCGGAGTGTGGGCACTCCGGGACCCCCGTGCCCCCGAGCCCAGCGCTGCGCCAGCACTGGAGCTAATTGCGTGTGGGGAAATCCTGCCCCCAGACAGCCGCTGCTGGGCTGTGCTGGCAGACAACCCATGCTCCTGACCCATTGTCTCCAGCGGGGCACCAGCAGGGCTTTCATAACCCTGAGGGCCAGGCTGCTGACAGCCAGGGCGAGCAGCAGGGGCCGCGGGGAAGGGGCCCCGCGTGCACCCTGCGAGCAAATTCCCCGTAACCTGGTTCAAGCACTGCTGCAGGGAGGTGATGGGATGCGGTGCGACGTCTCCCAGCTCCGGCACGCCGCTGTGCGCCCCGCGCAGAGGGGCTTGAGACAGCCCCAAAACTAAAGGCACCCACTAGGAAACACGGAGAGGATTTAAGCCGGGGTGGTGCCCGGGCACGGGGCAGCTGCAGAAGTGTCCCTGCTGCTGCCAGGCTTGGTGGCAGCGGGCAGCAGCTCTGTCTAGGACTTCTACTCTGGGATTTCACTTTCTCCCTCGCTGTGCAACTTCCCTTCTGGCAGGAAGGTGCTTTCCCTCTGCAGGGCTTCGTGGGGCGCCTGGTGAGCATCCCCCCCGTGACCTCCCTCTGACTTGCTGGCCCCTGAACCAGGGCCAGGACACGCAGCCTGAACTGGTGACCTTCCCAAATCTCTCTCCTGCGCCCCAAAGGCCAGGGTGCTTTGTGCCTGGGCAGCGGCCCATGAGGAAGGGTCCCCAAGGAAAGGGCTGAGGTCACTCCTGAATCCCAAGCAGAGCTACGAGGGGCTGGGCTAAAAGAGGGAAAAGAAAGGGAGAGGCACGGTATTATGGCTCCTTGGCATCAGCTGGCTCCGATCCCGTTAACCTCCCTGCTCCTGGCTGAAAAAAAAGCCCTACAAAGCAGCACCCGGTGCTGGGCCAGGCGCTGGTGCTGCGTGGGACGGGGCAGCGGCTCCACGGCTGTGGCCACCAGCTCGGTGCTGCTGCTCTGCGCTCTGGAAGTCCCTGATATTTTTTGACATCCCACCTTCCCAGCGTGGCTTTTTGCAGATCCTTCTCCTACCTTGGCCAGAACCAGCTGCGGTGTCCCCACTTCTCCCTCCCGCTGGCCCCGTACGGGCCCTTTTCGCTCCAGCCCTGAAGATTCTGATCTTGTGAAATGTTTTCCTCTGTAAGTTCCCTTTCGCAGCCCTGGGGAATGGGGAAATGCCTTGCGCCTGGAGGGGGACATCGCGGGGAAATCTGAGCAGCTTCTGGAGGGATGAGGAATTTTTGGACCAGGAAAAGCTGCTCTTGGTGGGGCCGGGAGGGGATCGGGTGCTTTTCCGTGCATCATGCGCGCAGCCTCGCAGGGAGGTCAGCGTTGAACCCAGCGCACGTTGGAATTGCCAAGCAGAGATAACCCTGCCAGCCTGCTCCAGTGCCTCCCAGTGCCTCCCAGTGCCTCCCAGTTAGCAGACAGCACCAGCCTGCTGTGCTGCGAGGGCGCATCGCTGGCCCACGTTCAGCGCGGTGTCCTCCAGGGCTCCGGGGCTTTGCACCCCAAATTTTGGTTTTATTGACCTGGGGCTAGGTGAAACCGCAGCGCTGCTGGAGCCACACTGGGTCTGAGCAGGGTCAGAGCTTCCCAACCAGGGCAGAGCTCTTCTCAGGGCAAGCTTCGTGCCAGGCCCCGATGGGAGAGGGCATGTTGCCACCTTCTGGCCAGCGGCTTTGCTCTTAAGGGCCACCATCTCCCCCCAAATCCGAGTCACAAGTGTTGATCTCCGAGGGACTTTGCTTCCTCGGGTGTGTTTTTGGGCGCAAGGTGACTGCAGGACGCAGGCGGGTTCCTGAGAAGCCGCTGCCAGCACAGGGCACAGCGTCCGCAGGCTTCTGATGCCAACCTCCGTCTGCCTCCTACAAGAGGTGATTTTCACCTCTTCGCAGAAACGTTTAGCGATGACTGAGTGGCAGGAAAAAAAAAGGCTTCCTTTTAAAGCAAACGCAACGCTTCGTTTGATGTCAGTTCCTCTTAGCTCCATCCTTGAAGCAAGCGCAGGGCGAGCACTAAAAATACCCCTTCCACTTCCACGTCGGGCTGCCGTGGGGGCAGCAGGAGGCTGAGGAAGGGGGTTCCCGGCCCAGCAAAAGGCAGCTCCTGGGGTAGAAAGTGAAGCGGTGACCAGTTGGGTCCCTCCGGTTTGTGAACTGGGCAAGCACTTGGCGATCCCTCACCGCGCATCGCCCCAGCTTGCAGTCCCTCGGGAAGCTTAAAGCTTCACCTGAGGATCCTCCACGGGCTCCCTCCCTCCAGGTGCTCCTCTCAAGCCCCTGGAGAAGACAGCGCCCTCCGCACCCCACGCTCACCTATGCGCCAGGGAGGAACCCCAGCCCTGTGTCCGGGAGGCTGTGACAGCTTCAGTGACACCAGGGGTGGTGGCACGCGGGCATCCAGCCTGGCTGCGGGTGTCCCGGCCACCTCCAGCCCTGTCCTGGGGACACAGATGGGACCTGGGTTGGTGGCACTGGTGGTGGCCGCGGTGGCAGCAGGTGACCGACCCGCTGCAGGACGCTGCTTTCCTGCAGGGAAACCGCCCCCCTTCCTCTTTCCGATGCGCTCAGGCGGTGACCTCAGCACGGGACGGATACCCAGAAGCGCTCCGTGGGTGGCAGCGACCTGCCAGGAGCTGCTCCATCAGCTCAGCACCCCCAGGAGCACGGGGACACCACCTGCCCGCTTCCCCTCCGCACCCAGAGGGTGCTGTGCCTGGACCAGCGGTGCCTTGCAGCTGGGGTGGCTCACGCTGGAGGGGAACGGGGCACCTGGGGACATCTCCGTGCTGCTGGGATTGGGGCCGGCTGCGGCAGCACGCCCTGTCCCCAGGGCCCCAGGACCGCAGGGTGGGGGCACCCAGCTGCACAACATCTGCCTGCGAGCCTGGGATGAGCGAAGCTGCCGCAGGGTTTGGGAGCTGCTTTCCCAGCCCCTTTCCCTGCCAGCGTCTGCGGGCTGGGCAGGCTGCGTGCCGGAGGTTCGGCGGCAGGTCCCCGGCCGGCCGGAGCCCCACCAGAGAGGAAGAAAGTGTCATGAATAACACGCCCGGCCTCGCCAAGCGGGATGGAAATAGCTGGCGGGAGTTTTGTTGAGTCACGCAGAAGGGGCTGTGGCAGCGAGCGATAATGGAAAGCAGGGGTGGCAAAGTCCTGCGAAAGGGAGGGACCGGCCGCTGGCACGGGGAAGCTGCCACCAGCCCCTTGTCCCATCCCAAAGGGACATCAAACCCAGCCTGCCACGGGGAGCCCGGCTGCTGTGCCGGGACGGTGCTTCCCCAGAGCCCGTGGGAGCACGGAAACATCACCCCAAAAAAATTCAATAAAAGGGATACCTTCGGCGGCGGTGTGCACGCACGTGGGCTCCTCTGGTGGGTGAAACACGGAGCAGGGGAGAGGGGCAGCTCAGCACACCGGGCAGCACCCCGAAGGGCATCCCGCACCGAGAAAAAGGGAAAACACAAAAACCGTGCTCTGAATTCGGGCTGGTCGCAGACGAGGTAATTTCCACATGGGTTAGCAGAACAGCTAGCTGGGAATTCCTGATAAAATCTATTTTGCTCTGAAAACGGACTGATTCAGTGAAATGCGAAAGCTTTCCACTGGAAAGAATTAGTTTTGCTGGATTTCTCAACTAATTCTCTAGAAAAGTTGTAAACGGTCAGAAGATTTTAACCACCGCTGCTCTCTGTCAGGCTCCGATTTATACCCTTACAGCTTGGCACAAACCCAGGACATTTTGACATAATCATTTATTTGCTCAAACCTCCAAATTCTACAGATCTCTTAACCTCGGTTTGAACCAAGGAAAAGCTTCTCCAGGCTTTTTTTTCCTTTAAGGCTCGTTGCCCCCTGCCCTGGCAGCCTCTCCAGCCCCTTGGCTAAGCCAGCAGCTCTCTTCCACCCCTCTTACCCTGCACCACGAATCTTTTTGCTCTCAGAAATGCCCTTTGCTTCACAGTAAAACCATGATAAGCTTGAGAAGAAAAAAAAAAATTAAAAAAGGAAAGAGGTAATTGGGATTTTGAGTGAATTCCAAGCCCTTTTGCTCTCACATCCCCCAGCACAACAGGTGTGTGGACGAGGAGGTGGCGCACGCTGGGCCGGCTGGGGACTTTCAAGGTGGAAGCAGAGAGATGTGAAACACGAGGTTTTTGGCACGCCCTGATATTTTCCCTTTCCCAGAGCTGGTCCCCGGCCCTGGATGGTGGGAGAGCCGCGAGGCTGTGCGGGCAGCCACCTTCTCACAGCGGCTTTCAGCAGGGACAGAGCAGCACCAGCTGGGTTTTCGTCTCCTTAGTGCTGAAAACATTGGAGGGCAGGGCAGGACCCCCCCTGCGGCTACTTATTTAAGTATCATTTCATTATTAATTATTTAATTTCTTCCACAAAGTAGCGTGGACGGGGACACCTTCCTTCTCAAGAGCGAGGGGGCTGCAGGAACCCAGCCCCTCCTGGTGCCTGCCCAGCGCTGGGCTCAGCCCCGACGTCGCTCTGCAAACCATGCAAGATGTGGAAACGTGTGCCCAAATTAATATTAATAATAATATTAATAACAATTAGCATTCTGACCAACAGCTGCAGCTCCCAGCACCCGCCTACACTTTAGTGTCACCATCTGCTGGCCTCTCCTTGGCTGCCTGCCCCGTTCTGGGATGGGGCACGAAGCCGCCCCCATTGCTGCCCCGCGCAGCCCCGCACCCCGGCGGCTTCTGCCCCTTCCTCAGGAGGCAGCATGCGCCGTAACCCAGGCACAGCAGGATGCTCAGCACCACCAGCAGCACCGCCAGAGCCCCTTTGGGACGCGGGCAGGGCCCCCAGGGGTGGCTGCTGAGCGGGGCCGAGAAGTTGCCGCGGCGGTGGCCGTAGGCGCAGAGCGCCCGGTCCAGGTCGGGCAGGCGCACGCGTGCCGCCCGCAGCACATCCAGCCAGCCCAGCCCGCAGCAGCTGAAAGGGTTCCCGGCCACCCACAGCACCCGCAGGCTGCGAGCCCAGCTCGCCACGGCCAGCTCGGCCAGCGCCGGCAGGTTGTTGTCTCGGACGTCCAGGCTTTCCAGCGGGGAGCAGAGAAGCCCCGCGGGCAAAAGGCTGAAGCGATTGCCCGACAGGTCCAAGGATTTGAGGGCGCCCAGGCAGGGCAGATCTGCCGAGCCGTCCCCCATCTGGTTGCCCCGCAGCCAGAGCTCCTGCAGGGAGAGCTCCAGCCCCCCCAGGGCTGTCCTGGGCAGGGCCAAGCCCCCGTTCTCCGACAGGTCCAGGGAGAGCAGCGAGGTCTGGTTGAAGGCGTAGGGCTGCAGCCGGGTGATGTTGTTCCTGGAGAGGCTGAGGTGCTTCAGCTGGGGGACGTTGGAGAAGGCGGTGCAGGGTCCTGCCCCCTGAGGGTCCCCTCCCGACGTCCCCCCGCGGTCACCTCCCCGGCTCTCACAGGGCTGGAGGCTGTTGGAGCCCAGGTCGATCGTCTCCAGCTGGGGCAGAAAATCAAAGAACCAAGGCGGCAAGGCGCGGAGGAGGTTGTCGTGGAGATCCAGGAAGCGCACGGAGAGGGACACGTTCCCCTGCAACGTGGCCACGCTGTCCCCTGCTGCGCCACCTGTAAGTGTCTCCCTCGTTACGTCCTGGAGACAATTCATGGCCACGCTGAGGTTGTGCAGAGAGCTCAGGCCACGGAAGAAAGCAAATGGGAAGAGCTGCAGCTGGTTATTGCTGAGATCCAAGTTGGCCACGCGGGTGAGGCCAGCCGCGGTGCCGGAGGACCCGTTAAACCTCCCCATCTCGTCGTAGTGCAGCGTGAGCGCTGCCGGGAGGCCTGAGCTCGGGGCCAGCGAGGCAATGAGGTTGTTGGAGAGGTTTAAGTGCGTGAGGTAATGCGCTCTGGGGAGCTCCGGAAAATAGAGGAGCCTGTTGTGGCTCAGGTCGAGCACCTGAAGCAGGTAGGGTTCCTCGCCCTCCTCCGACACGAAGAGCTCCAGCGCGTTGTGGCTCAGGTTTAAAACTCGCAGCTGCCTGAGGCTGAAGCCAGAGATGCAGTGAAGGGAATTGAAGGCCAGGTTCACCACCTCCAGCTCCTCTAGAGCCCCAAAGGCTCCCTCCTCGATTTCCATGATGTAGTTGTTGCTGAGGTTGAGCTCGCTCAGCTGCGGCGTGCTCCAGAAGATGCCCGCGGGCAGCCTCGTCATCCTGTTCCCGGACAGGTCCAGCTTCTTCAGCGTGGGGAGGCTGCTGAGGTACCAGCCCGCCATGTGGCTCTCCAGGTTGTTCGCCGACAGGTCCAGCACCTCGATGTTGCCGAGCAAGCCGAAGGCTGCCCCGTTAGCCAGGTAATTGCGGTCCAGGCGGTTGGAGCCCAGGAGGAGAGAGCGCAGCCGGGGGAGCTGAGCCAGGGCGGCTCCCGACACCGCCTCCAGCTGGTTGGAGCGCAGGTCCAGGTGCTCGAGCTGCCCAAACCCACTCATGTGGCTCTCCGACAGGTTTCGGATGAAGTTGTTGGAGAGCTCGAGGTACTTCACTCCTTGGCTGAGCTCCTCTGGAAACCTGTGCAGGCCGGCACCCTTGCATGACAGCTTCGTGGGGCTCTAGGGAGAAGCAGGAAAACCCATCAGCATGGGACAGGGCGCGCAAAGGCACCGCCAGCCAGGGGGTGTGCTCCTCTCCACGTGCCTGAGCGATGGGAAGATGAGCCCCGTTCCGTGTCCTGCCCCGCGATGGGAAGGGGCCAGGCCACCAAAAGCTGCTCCAAAAGCTCCCTCCAAAGTGGTCCCCTCGGAGGGCACCCAGGGCATCGCCGTGGCGGAGCAGGGGGGCACTGCTCGAGGTGCCACCAGCACAGCAGCACGGGGAGCGGCTGGGAAGGGCCCTGGGCAAACAGGCTGGAAGGCAGGAGAGCCGAGGGGAGGACGAAGGTGGGAAGAGAGGGAAGGAAAAAGGAGACGGAGACCGGCTGGGGATGGATGGGGGGATTTGCGTTTGGAACCTGCCTGCGCTGCGCAGCGGGACGGGTGCTCAGGCCCAGCTCAGCGCTGTCGGGGAGCGCTGGGGCTGCGACAGCCCTCGGAAAGAGCCTTACCTGCTGGCACGGCAGGGCTTTGGGCCTCCCCGCCCAGCCAGGCTGGGCTCCGAGGATGGCCAGGAGCAGGCAGAGCAGCAAGCATCGTGCCCCGGTGAGCTGGGCTCCCAGCCAGAGCATGGTGGGCTGCGGGCGCTGCCAGCCCTGCCCGCTCCGCCGGTGCTCTCCAGCGAGCCGGGCTCGCTATAAATAAGCCTCGGCGTGGGATGGGGGAAGGAGATAACGCGGGGGGTGTTCGCAGCTACGGAAGTGGGAGAAGAGAGACATACGACTACGGAGGGGAAAAACAGTGCACGAAGCCACAAGGAAGGGAAAGAGAAACCGCTGGAGCAGGGAGGCGGCAGGGCTGCGCAGGGGCTCAGGTGATCGACCGAAACCGCCGTGGAAATCAAGTGCCAGGGAGGAAAGCTGCTACCTGGGAAAGCCGAGGGTTGCTGCGGGGCTTCTCCTGCTCTTCTCCAGTTTCCTCTGCCCTGTGCCAGGGCTGGGCTGTGCCCGGACCCCAGCAGTGGCCACCAGGACCTCTGGGACCCTCTGGGACACCAGGGCCGCAGCAGAACTCGGTGCCCAAAGGAGAAAATTCTCCCCCTGGCCCTACAGCCGGGGCTCCCTGGTGACACCTGTGTGCCCTGGGAACCAACTGCTGTGGCTTCCCCTGCCCAGTCCCTGGGGCAGGGGGTGCCCGGCACAAAGCAGAGCCCTCAGAGGGGACCAGGGGTGATCGCGGCCCCTGGCACTGTCAGCCCTTCCCCTGTCCCCAGTGGGATGCGCAGGGCTGGGCTCCTCCCCGCCACGTCCCCGCGTCCCCAGCAGGCCTGGAAAGGGGCGGCTGTGCCACCCAGGAGCCGTGGGGACACCTCCTGTGGCAGCTCCAGGCTGTGTCCAGGTCCCCAGAACCGCACGCCATGGACACAGGTGTGCTCGTGGTGACATCTCCGTGTCCCTGTGCCACCTGGTGGTGACAGTCCCTGGGGACACAGGGCCGTGGCCATGTCCTGCTCACAGTGAACTCAAAGTGAGCTCTGCAAACCGGACTTTTGCTGCTTTTTTTTGGCTCCAGGGGGCTGATTTCTTTCCATCTGTAGGAACGCATCCGGGCTGCTGCCCAGCCTTAGCTGTTGCTCCAGAGGTAGAGCTGCTGCTCTGCTCCTAACCATGCCTGGCAGAATAATAAATATTAATATTTTTCCCTCTTTGTATATCTGTGCCACCCCTTACACCTAACGATGCAGCAGCCCGGCTTCCCCTGATGCTGCCCTGATGGAGGATGTGCTCCACCACAGCCGGGGCCAAAGGCAGCTGCAGGAGAGCAGCCCCCGATTGCTCCTGGAGGCGCTGGATGAGGCTCCACATCTGTGCAGACGTGGGAGCAGCCTCCGACCTCTGGCTGAACCTGCACAACCCCAGCCCCCAGCCAGCACCTCCCGGGGAACCCCAGCCCTCGCCCCGGCCACCGGGCACGGACCCACGTAGCAGGCACGGCGGTGAAATCAGCCAAAAGTCCCTGATCGGAAGCGAGGGACTTCTGCAGAGAATTCCTGGGCACTCACGTCCTGACCCCATGAGCTCCCCGTGCTGAAGAAAACTCAGCCACCCTACGCCACGAACCCAAACCCAGAACGCAGCACCTTTTGTTTCCTCCTCCTCCTCGTGCTGCCTCTCATTTGGGGCATCATTCCAGGTGCCCTGCTCCCACGGAGGGGGATCCCTGAGCCAGGGCAGCAGCACCCCCGGGCCGAGCTCCTCCACACCCCCCACCTGCCAGGCCGATAGAGCGCTGAGCACGGAGGAACAGCCAGAGGTCAGGAAAAAGCTTTATTTGCAAAGAAAATATTGACAATTTACATAAACTTACATCCTAATTTATATACATTATGTATAGTTTATATACAGATAGTGTCTTGGATAAAGATGTCGAAGCACAAAACAGCATCAGGATATCTCTGTGCAGCTCGGACAGGTAACGGGCTCGGAGCTGGGCGTCTGTTCCCACAGCCCCTCTCCCATTACGCTTTTATTGGGGAGGTTGAGGAGAGGCTTCCTCCTACACCTGGACGTGATGCAGGCAGACATCAGGGGGGGATCGGGCTTGTAAATGGGTGCAGCAACCAAACAGCTGCGCCTGGACAGGGGACAGGGTCTGGTCCGTGGGCCAGAGAAATGGAACAAACCCGAGCAGCCGGCCCAGAGGAGGCTCAGCTTGCAGCCGGGGGCTGGCTGTGACCAGCTGCCTTTTTGCTCCCGAGCTCTGAGCTGACACCCCCAGGGGCGTGCTGCTTGCGGCATGTCCGGATTTCACAGAGCCACGGCAGATGCACACCTGGGAGCAGCTCCCACCTGAACATCTGCCCCGTACCTTGGCAGACCGCGAGGCGCAGCCTCTCCTCCGCTTTCTCCAAATGCCCATGCCGGGACTTTTGGGGACAGTGAAGGGGGGCTCACGGCAGGCACACGGTAAGTCAGAGGGCCACGAGAGAGTGAGCGCCTTCACGGGGCTGATTGCCAGAAGAGGGGCTGCCCTAGCGGATGGAAGAAGGACCAAGCGAATGCAGTTTGCTCATCTCTCTCCAAACACAGCCCAGGTGCCCTTTTCTGAGCACCAAGTGCTGGAAGGACACTGCCGAGTCCCCTGATGGGCTGGCAGGGGGCAGCAGTAAGCCCACAGCTGCTTACCTGGGCGAGAAAGGCGCTGGAGGAAAGCACAGCCAGGTTTTTGTGGGCAGGGAGCCGTGCCCAAACGCCTTTGCTGGAGAGAATCCTTCCTTCCAAAGGTGAACACAAGAACAGAGCCGGCTTCCCTACGGATTGTCCCTGCATAGAGGGTCTTGGGGGGGGGAGAAGGGTTTTGAACGAATTAAATCCCAATCAGCTGCTTGCTACATTTCTGCAAGTGGAGTCCAGCCAAGCACGGAGCAGCAGAGCTAAGGCACGGAGGTGAGAGCGAGCTAGCGCTGCCGAGGGGAAGCCAGCAGCGACTGCTGGGGGGACCGGAGCGCTGCGCCCCCGGAGCGCTGCGCCACCGTCTCCAGCACGCCGATGTCGGTCTGTCCGTGGGGAGCTTCCTTCCCAGCCAGCCTAGGGACGGACACACATCGGAATGAGGAGACGTGAGAGGGAAAGACTGGAGCGAGGCCCTGCTCCTGCTGGAGGTGCTTGGACCCTTCCACACGCATCCTCCTCGAGCTCTTTTGTGCTGCTCCCAGCCCTGCCTGGCTCCGCGAATGGAAACCTGCAGAGGCACCGAGGGTGGTGGCGCAGAGAAGTGTCACACAGAAGGAGCTGTGCTACAGCCTAGGCAACCTGCACTGCAATACTTCATTAACGAGAACTTGTTGGAGGGTGGCCCAAGGGTTTCAAGTATAAAACACCCCCGGGGCTGCCGCAGGGCCGGCGATGCAGCGATCGCTCGGAGCAGCGGTGAAGGTGGCTCTTGGCACGAAGGCCACCCCAAGCCAGGCACTCCCTGGTCTCTGAGCCCACGTCGTGGCGCTCAGGCTGTGGTGTGAGACCAGAAGCAGCCCCTAAAACCTTCCGCTGCTCGCGAGGAGGGAGGCAGGAATCGCTTCCCCGTGCCCCCCTCCCCGCTGCCCTGTGCGCATGCCAAGGGGGAGCTTGGCGGCGCTGCCTGGGGTTTTTGCAGCAATGGGATTCTCCCTCTGCCTCCTCCTGCTCGCAGCCATCCTCAGAAGCGACTCACAGATCCTGCCAGTGGGGGACAAAGAATGCAAACTGCATCCATCGTGCTCGCCCGAGCCTTTTCATTATTTATGCTTGCCCCAAAGTCTTGCTGTTCAGACTGTATTCTAAAGCAATTCTGTTAATGATTTGCTTAATGTTCTCACTATACACAGTTGTCCTGATTCATTCTTGTCAGAGGAACATGTCCTTCTTAATCCATTTTAAAGGAAATAAACCACAAAGACTAGTTAAGTGCCCCTAAGGCTCTTGCTCGTCCAACATGTTAAGGCTAGAAAGGAGGGGAACATATTGAAAAAGAAATAGCAGGCAATTTTTCATGCAGTTATTTTACAAACTGCACGCCTCCTGTGAATAGCGAGGCCGAAGCCAAAGCTGGGTGCCCCCAAGAAATATTTATCTCCCAATAACTGCAATAGTTGGCAAGTGAGATCACTCGCTGCGGATTGGGAAAAGTGGTGGAGCTGAGGGTGCCCCGGCCGGGGGGGCCGCACCGATGGTGACCCCACACCCTGCAGGTGAGCTCTGCTGCTGGCCAGGAGCTGAGCTACAGCACCCAAGCCATCGGTTTGGGGCTTGCTCCCAGCCCTGCTATTCCTTTTGGCCATAGAGGCTGAAATTTTGCTGCCCTCTTCGCTTAATTAAATGTGCTCCAAGAAGCAACCCGGCTGCACCACCGAGCCAACGCCACCTCCAAACCCGAGCGCCCCAGCCCCGCGCTCAGCCCAAGCACATCTTATAGCTTTAGATCTCCCCAGTTGAGGGGAGGTAACGGGAGAGAGTTGCTCAAGAAGCCAAAAGAAACAATAGCGTCCCAGCTACCCTATTAGTCACCAGAAATCGAGTTATGACTAGACTCAGCAGGGCTCAGAGAAAAGAAAAAGTGGTGACTTCATGCTGGACCAGACTTCTTAAATACACATTTTTGCTAGAGCCTCCATCACCACTTATTAGAGCATTTTAGGTAGAAGAGTGCCAAAAGGAAAAGGGTGTGGGGAGGAAGGATAAAAACCACATCTAAGAGCAGGGCAGTTGCTATTAAAACAGAAAAAAGAAAAAAAAAAAAAAAAACCTTTCCTGTTTGAATATTTTATTCTTAAACATGACAAACTTCTTCAGAGTGTTTTCACAAGTACTTGTGTCTGCTCTACATGGCTCTGTGAAGCCTGTAGAAATGTGTTCTGGTTTGCAACACATTAATTAAAAAGACAAAAAAAAAAAAAAAAAGAACCAAACCAAACAAAAACACAACTTGCTGTAACAGCAGCAGTACTTTAAGGCAGCCCCCGTTAGGGCAGCGTACACCTCTGGGGCAATGGCAGGAGCTGAAAGTAGCAGAGGCTCTGGAACCGGGATCATCTTTATCTTTGGGACTTTGCGATTTCTGGGATGTAGAGGCAGATTTCTCTGTGCTAAGCCTGCTCTGGTGAGTGTTTAGCTTCCTCTCAGACACACCGCTTTTGCAGCCTGCTTTCAAGCTCTTCGCCTTCCTTTCTCACGCTCCTGAGGATGAATGTAAACGCCACTGACTCTGTCCTACTCGCCTCCCTTGGCACCGTGCTGCCCTCCCAGCTGGAACCGGGAAGGCAGCAAAGCAGAAACCCCATTTCTTGCTCTCGTTAGCGGGCAGAAGCAGGAGTGAAGCCTAGACAGGACCCCTCTGACCGACGTCTGTCCTCTCCTGCTGCTGCCTGGGATGCTCTTGCTAGTGCAACATAGAAGCAGAGACCCACATCACTCTCAACAAGCCTCATGTGAAGATCACAGAGCGGAATATCAGTGCAGTAATACTGGAAATACTGAGACAAGGCAGACACGCCAGCCTTTCTTCCTCACAACGCTTTTTCAGCTAGCCTTTTGATCCAAGTCTCCATGCGAGTCACAGAAGACATTGTGCTTCCTGCATTCACATATAGGAATAAATAGCTCTGGATCAGTTTTCTTTATGGCCGGATTACAGAACCCCCTGAAATACTGATACGCTTATGAACAGCAGCACTGTGCAGTTCTGTGAGTATCCTTGGATATGCCAAGTTCATCTAGGATGCTGGTGCATCTCCTAGGCGTATAGCCCCAAAGAAAGTTGTGTGCTTGCTCATGTTGATGGAGATGTCAGCATGGACCATTTTCACAGCGATCTTCTGCCTGGCTTTGAGGAGGCAGACCCCAGCTGTATAGCAGGTATTGAAGTTGGTCTTGCCGGTCTCAATACTCCGAGTGCATTGCAGAAAGGGTTTCTCATCCACCACCACCTCATAGCTGGCAAAATCTGTGAAGTTTATGTAGTATACCTGATGTGAAGCAGGAAGAAGAAAGACCGTTAGGCAGTGTATTTGTGCACCAGGAAGAAGTCCACATTCCTCTCAAGGCGTACGCATGGTCCCTCTGCTATCGATCCCTTCCTTGGCCCCATGCTCACGGGAGGTTGGCTGGTTCAGGCATAAAGACCCTCAAGCCAACAAAACGTAAGGAAACTTCGTATTTCTCTTCACACTAACAGTACAAGCATGCAAGCGTCTGCAAATCCAGGTATCTTTATGGCCCAGCTAGGAATGCTCTCGTTAGCCCCTGCTCATTAAAGGAAACGTTACAAACCTGTGCAGGCTGAGTTTCCACAGCCTGAGAACAAACCTATCTGCTACACACAGCGTTTCATCCAACAAACAGACAAAGATTTGAACTGAAGTCCTCTGTCACTTACCTGGCAAGTCCTGCTTTCTGGATCCCATGAGCCTCCTTTAGTGTGGACATCAAAATGCCCTAAGATGCCTGGGAGCTGCCTTCTGTGTAACTGGACTTGAGGCGCTTTCAAAGGCACAAGCTATTACAGGGAAGACACTCCCAGCCTCCGCAGCTTGGAGGGGGATGACCTTAGGGTATTTGCACTGATTTAACTCCTGGATTGAGTGGCTAAGTCCCCATGACTGTGACTTGCTCAGGTCCTTAACCACCTCCCATGTGGAGTTATTTTTCCTGCCCCCATCCAAGCCAACGCATGAGCAGCTCCGTGGAAGAGCCCTGCCTCACCTGGCATCCACAGCCCGTTTTATCACACCTGGCACAGTCAGTGGGCTGGCTAACTGCATATAGGCAAATCCTGATCAGGAGATTGGAGGGGCTACGATCTGTGCCAGAACCTGGACAGATTTCCAGCCTGCAGGTGACCGGGCACCCTGCCTGCTCTGGAAGGCTGGGCAGAGCGTGGCAGCTTAGAAGCTGCTCAGAAACTTGCAGGAGACTGCACTAAATGACAGTACGCCTCCTGCATTTATTTTTTTTCTGAATGAGGAAAGGAAATTACGTTTTAATTCCTGTACCCTAAACCACACTATGAATTATTTTGTTCGGTACTTTCTACCTAGGCAGCTCTGCACATCCATCGCTGGTACCAGCTAGAGCAGCAGCTGAGCCATCCTGCTGCACCACAAGGCTGCTGGCACATCGTGTCCCTCTGAAGCTACACGAAGAACGTGGAGGCAAAATGCAATTACCTGGGCTGGAGGTTGGCCAGGCCCCCCGGGCTGGGAGCCCTACGCTTACAGAGAGCGACACGGTTTCTCAAAGACCACAAGTTGTCGGGGTTTTGGGATGACATCCCTCTTAAAGCGCAGAGCCCAGCTTCCTGCTGGGCCTCTTGCTCTGCAATACGGTTTAGATTTGCTGCTGCCTGCCTGCGCAGACGGGATGGTGGGGGAAGAAGCCATCGGTGGCATATGGGATTTGGTGGGGCGCCTGCGCGCGTGTGGCAGGAACTAATCTCTTGCAGCTGGTGCCATGGCGAGACGTCTGACCTCGCACTTCCAAACTCTAACTTCTTCCTCCGACACACATCTCCTAGAGCATGAAGTGGTTAAAGGTACACACAAGTTCTTGGCATTTGCTAGTTGTCTGGAGCCCTCTCGTGGTTCATGCAAGGCTTCCATTGGAACACAAGAATAGGAGTTAGGCCTAGGACCGTACTCACTTCTACCTGACTATAGATGAAGTATGTGCCGTCCACCAGTACCTCCAGCTCCCCACTGCGGGCATGCAGCTTAAACACCTTGGGGTTCATAGTGATGCGAGACCAGTCATTGAGGACTCCACCTGAAAGATCTCAGTATGAGAAAACGGCAGTCACTCAGTACCCGTCAGGATGAAAAGCGCGGGAGCACAGAAATACAGTGACATTGCAAGCTTTCACACACAACGACACAGACCCACGTTCAAAAGTCAAGTAATTTGGTGAGAAAACCCCGGAATTAAGGGCTGTGCTGTGCTAGTTTTGACTCCTTCCCATGGCGCTGGCTCTGATTACACCAGCACTAGCTGCTGAATGGGACACCCACACCATGCAGCGTGCAGGATGAGCTGATTTCCATCTCTGCTTATCCTTGTCAGGAGCAGCTCTTCTCACCTGCCCTTTTGTACTACTGCTGCATTCATCCCCAGCATCGGATGCAGACGAGCTCCTCTTCTCCCAAGGCTAAGGTGAGCCTATTATGCTACCTGAGTGTTTCCCAGCCCTGACAAAATGTTCTCATCAGGACTGCGTGCTGTCATCCCCACCGCACAGCAAGGCCACTGGCACATGGAAAGCCGTGCCAGTGCTTTAATGTATTTGCTGTGTTTCCCAAATTCATCTCCGAGGCCAGGGGCTGGTTTTTGACACTCTGCATGCTCAGCCACAGAGCACAAACAGCTTCTGGTAGCTGTGGTTACAGCAGCCCTTCTGCAGCCCAGACCCCAGGCGCCTCTCGAGGTTTTGGCCCTTTGCTGCTGGTGACTTCCCTGGTATCGTGGAAGAAACTCTGCAGAAGGGAAGCAGCAGAATCCAGCTCTCCAGGCAAGATTCCCAGCTGACATTACCCAGCCAGAAGACTATTCAATCTCCTCGACTCCCCTTCTCTTTATTCATTCCCCTCCCCACACCTCTCTACCCAGTTTCCACGCTAAACAAAGCCAAACTTGCACAGAGAGCTGCAGACGGGTGCTTCCCTGAGGATGACAGCAAGGCTGGGATGAGAACAATGATTCCTGTCCTTATGGGAATTGGACTAAATGTGGCAAATCTGCCTGCCCCACTCAGTGCTGCTGAGCACGAAGACACAGCCTTCACCTTCATTTTAAGCCCTGCGTTTCTGCTCCCTGCCCCTAGCTGCAAGCCCGGCAGGCTGCGGCTTCTGCTCACTGTCAGCCGGACAGCATTCATGCCTGGGCACCCAGGGAAGGCAGGCTCGGGGCTGGGGATTGTTCCCGAGCAGCAGGGAAGGACACTTACAGGGTAATTCCCACTCTTAGAGAGCAGCGTACGCTCTGTAAACATCCACGCTTCCCATTAATAACGGGATAATTACTTTCTGCACATAAGCAAAGCAGCATCTTTTCCCTCGTGCTGTTGTTAGAAACGGCCGATTTCCTTTTTGTTTTTTTTTTGGGGGATTTGGTGAGCACAGGTCCTGCAGCCCTGTCCCCAGGGCTCCCCGGGGTCCGGGCAGGGGACGAGCCAGCTCCCCTCCAGCACAGCGAGACATCGCCAGCCGAGAGCCAGCGGCTAATGAATGAGAGCCAGCTGTTGGCAAGAGGAGCAGAAACCCGAGGAGAAATCGGAGAGGGATTCGGGGAGGAAGGAGGAGAGCAGAGAAGTGCTGGTGGATGTGGGATGGCTCGGCAGGAGCTGGGCTGAGTTACAGATTGGGAGGAGGGATGCTCGGGGGGCCGGGGAGCTGCAGGGTGTGCTTGCCTGCAGCGGGGCAAGGCAGGAGGAGCTCGCAGCTGTGTGTGTCCCTCTGGAGCTGCGCTTTCCCCTGAAATATATTCTTGGGGAAATGGGGAAAAACGCAGGCTAATGGGGTTTCGACAGGAAAAGGATATACTGCTGGCTTAAAATAGAAAACGAGACCAACAAAATGGACTGGGAAAGAAGGCTGGCTGGTCAAGGGGCTGAGGAAAAATGATTTCACAACAGGTGGGAGGGGGCACGCTGTACCTGGGGGCCAAGGGGAAGCGAGACCCAGTGGGGCTGGAGTTCTGGGAGAACAAACTGGGAGGTCTGAGCACAAAAGAAATGGGGATGGACACTGAGCAGAAAGCTCCTCTGCAGTGTCTGGGCACTGGGAGTCAGGCTGTCACGGTCAGCAATCGCTGCCCCCTGTCACAGGGTGCTCTTAGGTCCAGGTACGTGCCTGGGGCTGCAGGGCAGGTTCAGTAAGTGCCAATAGCATCAGATCCTTACCATTCTTCACTTGGATTGCTGAGCCTTGGCCTTGAAGGTGGACCACAGCTGGCTGCAAAGAGATGACAGGGGTTTAAAGGGGGTCAGAAACACTGCATCATTTTATATAACCTGACATGGCTTCACGGCTTTTGTACATGACAGCACTCTGAGATCATTGCTGCTTTTCATAAACAAACACAAAAAAAGAAGATGGGAGCAGCTGAGAACAACATGCTCAAGTACCGGACAAGAAGTGAGAAGCCCAAGCCAGATTAACAGGGCTTGCTCTTGAGCAATGAGAAAAGTGAGCTCAGGCGGTCATTTTGTGGGGCTGTGATTTAGCACAGAGGGGAAGGGGTGGGTTTTGCATGTCGGCAAACAACCGGTAACGTGAAGGAAAATCAACCAACCTGGATGTCTCTGGAGCCTGCCTTGTCTGTGGCACCTGCAAAACGCAATTTCACATCATTGCAGAGTTATGCTTGAAGGAGCTGCAGTAAATATTCCTCTACAGAAAACTTCTCGTACCCCGTAACAAACATTAAAGACCCGTTTATAGCAGGAGGAGGATGTTAACAGCTATCCGGGGTACGGCTTCGTGTTAGAAAGTGTGCAAGCAAGGAAAAGCCTCACCCCACTTCTTTCTTATTTCATTCCCGCATTTCTGCCTGGCATCATCACAATGCCCCAGCGTTATTCAACCAGTTTCCACTAGAAGGAAAAATTGCACAACCCTTTTGCCGATCAGTAGTGGTAATGAAGACTCTTGGCTGCAAAGATTACAAGTCTGACTCGGCAGTAACGCAGGTCATTCACTGCGTTCAAGCTCCATGCTGAAATCTCTTTTCTCCGAGAGCCAAATCTCTGTTAAAGAGGAGATGCTTGCGGGCAGCACTCTCGAGTGCTAAGGACCTCATGCTGCTGCTGGCCTCAATTTCTGAGACATAAACTGAAAAGTCAACCGAGTTTTCCTCTGAGAGCCATGCAAGCCATAGGGTGACAGCCCTGATTTCTCTGAAGAAGCATTTTTTAATACCAGACTGTTCATGTGCGTAGCACAAACAGTGATGTGAGCTTCCACTAACATGCGTTTTAAAGAGAAATTACAGTCAGATTTTTACAAAATAACTGGCACGTGACTCCACGGAGGAATAATATCATGCACAAAGCAAAACACAACCAAGGACTGCAGGGACACCCTGCCATGGGGACGAGCGGTTACCTGAGGGGCCCTGCAGCCCAGGGGGTCCCTGAGGGCCCGGTGGGCCGGGGGGGCCGGGGGGTCCCATGACGGTGGTGCCGGGGATCCCGGGGATGCCGGGAATGCCGGGGGGGCCCTGGGGGCCAGGAGGGCCGGGTGGCCCCTGGGGTCCGTTGGGCCCTGGAGGACCGGCCTTTTTACCTGAAAAAAAAAACAACAAAACAAGGCCAAGCGTGAGCGTTTCCCACTCCAGCCCCAACAAGGAGGAGCACCCGGCCGGATGGGCCACAGAGGCATCTTGATTTTACAACAAAAACAGCTTTTTGATGTAGAACAGCTGCAACCTTTCTCACCTGCTGTACGCGTGTGCCTTCATAGCTAAATCTTTAACAGCGGCCTGCAGGGCCGTGACCGGGCACCACCGCATCTCCTGGCCCAGGGACTCCTCCAGAGGGCAGTTCGGAGCCGAGCTGCAGCTCCCGCTCTCGCCCCTTCCCTCCCCGCAGCATCCCGGTGCCGAACACTGCAGGAAGCACCGAGATGCCCAAAATATCTCAGTGTCCAGTCTGGGCTTTGGCAGGGCTCGCTGAAGCCCGAGGAGGAAAGCACCGAAGAGCTGCTGCGGTCCTTGAGCACCTTGCAGCAGGCACAGGGACAAAGGATGGGGAAAGAAAGTGCAAGGATGCAAGTAGACGCAAAGACTCTGATCAGGCACCGAAGTAAGGTCTGCAGGGAAAACCTGACCTGTGATTTCCCGATTTTCCAGATCCCCGTGAAAAATTGTGGTCTTTTGAGGTAGTTTTTGAAGTGCGATTTTCTAACAGCTTTGATGCCAAAGAGTTTAATAACATGGCAAAGCCATTTCATCAGAACGAAACCATTTTTTAGACAACAGCAACGGCGAGGATGGAAAATAAAGACTATGGGTATGGTTTCTGCATGCATTTAGGCGCTTGTTTCTCTACTAACTATGCGTCGCTGTGGTGGGACAAAACCACAAGACATGAACTTGGTGCAGAACTGGAAGGATCCAATCTGGTGCAGTGGCCACCAGCCGTGCTGCCCAGCCGCAGTGTGCCACACGGTCCCTTCCCGTGTCACCTGCCCCAGCACCCAGCACTGCCACGGGGCCCGGGCTCAATCCCCTGCACAGGGTTGACCTCCAGCCCCGCTTTTTGTTTCTAGGTGTAAAGGAAGCAGAATGCTGTCGGGTGCTTTGTTTAAAGTAGAAAGCTACTTCAAGCTAAATACTAATTAAAATAATATTGCGGTAACGCTGGTATCCTACAAAAACAGGGCAAAGGCTTAAGGGGACAAATTGTTACCTGCAGTGGTTTTGCCCAGATTAGCAGAGGTGCCTTCGAATCTGAGCTGGCCCCAAGCCAGGCTGCCTCTAATCCAGCAGTTCTCCGCCTCCTCCTCAGGATAATGACAGGTCTTGGAAATCCTCAGCTTGAATCCAATCCCTTACCTATTTCCCCTGCAGCACACTTAATGAATTCTTTTCATCCACGCCCCCTTCCATCTAGACAATCCCAACGCAGGATCACAGGCACTACGGCAGGAATCCCGCGGCTGTCTCTCCTTGCTTTCTTTCCCAAGAGGGACACACATTACAGCTGTTTTAACTAATCTGTCTCAGAAATCTGGTCTGCGACTAAATTAGCTGCTAGTTTAGCAGTAAAACAATTGCACATAATTCTGAAGCCGCACAGGGACACTTATTTTTCTATGCATTCTTGCTCCTTCAAGTAATTTTGACTTCTTCTCTGTATTAATGCAATCCTGCCTGTTAAAGTCACAAGGCAAAAAATAGTTCTGGGAGCGGATAAAGCTCGATTCATCTTCCCACTGAGGGGACCATTCATGGCCGAGCTGTGGTGCAAAACAAGCTGTGCGCCAGGAAGCTGGGAAAGCCTGCAGACGCTTTTAGGATATGTGGGGAATGAGATGCCATTGCTTCCTCTTGCTTTTCACTTTTTTTTTTTTTTAAGAGCCACTTATTGGGGCAGAATACCAGAAGTCCTCATTCCCAGGAGTCCTGTGCACCGTAGGGTCTGTGCCGGGTGCTCATACCAAGCATGGGAAGCCAAAACCAGCTCTCAAAACCCAGCTCCTGAGAGCACTCAGTGTTTAACAACGAGCACAAAGTCGAAGCTTTGGGCCAGGCAGGCAGCACGTGGCTCTCGCACAGCACACGAGGCCTCGTGCAGAGCTGCCGTACTTCTTGGATCTGCAGAGGTTTGAGAACGTCCTGTGGCGCTCCCCAGCTCCACGCAGCTCTCCTCCTTCACCCCCAAGCCAACTGAACCAGGCACCATCAGTCTGCTTTCCTTAATTGTCATTTGCTAAACAATAAGCTCTAATTCTTTAAAAAAAAAAAAAATTGACAATACCATAAAACTGAAATATTTTATACAGCACTCCAGCTGTATGTAATACAGCTCTACGAGATCCCTCAGGCCATCCAAAACTGCTACGAACACCACAGGCACCATTTGTTATTAGTCCAGCTGACTGAGCGCGGGTTTAGGGTTTCAGAGTTTTGTTAGGACAAGCTTTCTGAACATAAAATTTTATGCTGCTTCAGGAGGGTAAATACAAGCGAAGCTTCCGACTGCGGCTGGTCCCGACCTCTCAGCCATAAATTGCGCGGCCGCGTGCGGGGAGCACCGAGGCGAGGCTGTGGGGTCGCAGCAGCACGTGCAGCGGGCAGGTTGCTGCTGGAAGCCCCCGGGTAGCAGAGCAGCAGCCGTGAGCGCCGTGTGCTTCAGAGACAGCACGTCTGGGGGAGCCCCTGAGTTGCACACAGTCCGTGCCTTTCCTGCAACCTGCGGCAGGGCAGCGCGCACCGCGGTGTTCGAAACGCTCCCAGGAGGGTTTGGATCGCTACGAGGAGCACGAACAGGCAATTGGATTCTGCTTCCCTAAATTCGGGGCTGTTGCATGTTTTTGGGAGTTAAGTCTGTAAAGCGACTCAGATCCTTTGGCTCGCTCAAGTTCCTGGTAGCAAACAAATATATTATGGCCATTAAATGTTCTCAAGGAGTCCCACACAAGAAGAGATGGCATCAGACACGCCACCAAACACAGGGCTGCGTGCTGAAAACCCGAGTCACAGAACCTCACCAGCGTGCGTTTTACAAAATAATCAGTTCTGTATTGCAAACAGCTTGAGGAACGTGGCAAGGAAGTCAGACAGGATGGATACCTGCGGGCTGACCAGCGCTCAGCATGGAAACAAGGCAGCACTCCTGAGTTTAATGCACAACAAAGCTGCAGGGTACGTTCACATTTCGTTTGGTGAGTTGGAAGCAGACACCAACCTGCAGCAAGATCCGTGGCAGAAGAGAGAAGAAAACTAAAGCTGCTCCAGCAAAGATGGCTGAGCTACCAGCACGCAGCTCACCAGCGCTGGTACACGACAGCTCCACTATTTAATTACGGCACCTTTGGAATTACTCCTATACGGTGCAATTAACTTCCCTCGGCTCCTAAAGATGGCTTCAATAAATATCTGTAACCCCTCGCTGCTGCTGCTGGGGAATGCAATGCTGCCATAGCAGTAAGGGCTTGTAGGAGCAGCACACAGCCTGTTTTATCAACACACGCTGCGTTAATCCTCGCTATTTGCTGAGGGCTGAACGCCTCATTGCTTTTCTCATTCATATTGGTTAAAGAGAATTCATAGCTGGGGCAGTCTTACACAGGCACAGCAAGGGGCCATTGAAGTAAAATTAAATTAAAACTCAAACTTACCCTTTTTCTTGTTTTTAACTGAACTTGGACCTGCAAAGGGAAAAAAAAAAAGAAAACTTGAGACTCAGTGATCATTTCATCTTACATAACCTCCCCCATCAATAACCACTTAGCAAGAAGGGTGTCGCTGCGATGCTGGAGCAAAATTGGTGACAAAACCAGGAAGACAAAGACGTAGAGTTTTCTGCTTCTCACCAGATATTTTATTCAGATTCCATCTTAATTCCAGCTGCTCAGATCTCTGCACAGAGATTTGCTGTGCATGGGCAGTGAAGTTGCCAATACCAGGACTGCACCCCAAGCTTTCAGACAGCAGAAACCCTCAGACTTAGCAGAACCCGTTTCTGAATGTGACCCATACTCAGCACATTATTTGATTATTTTTCAAGCAGACGATGGACGCATTTATAGCCCGTGCAGCAGCACACGGACTGTCCCCGTATTTCAGACACGGTGGACACCTGGCAGGGAGAGTCAGTCCCAAGGGCCCCTGAGGTGCCAGGGCAGAGCCCATCGCAGCCACGTCCAGGTTTGGCCATTCAGGGCCCTGAAAATTCCCCTGAACTCCACTTACACCTGCAGCTGGGAAGCTGCAAAACCAGCAGAGAGCAGGTTTGCTAAAACCACACTATATTTAAGTCACCCAGATTAAAATTTAAAATTGGCACATTTAACTTCCCGATGAGGACAGGTTAGAAGAAAGGTAACAGGGCTCAGAGCTCAGCTGAAAGCAGCAGCCCAAGTACTTGCAAGCAGTGTTGTTTAAAAAAAAATGATTTAAAAAAGAAGCAAACAATTACTATAAACTGTTAATCAAAGGGAATACAAACCTCCCTAGCAAGAAGTGGAAATATTTAGAGGTAAGCTGAGAAACTACGTGATGTCTTGAGCAGAAGTTGAAGTGTGAAACATGTGCCACTGCTTCCTTGAAAATTAATCATGGATGGAAATAAACTGCAAGAATCCCCAAATACTCGCTCACAATTTGTCAGTCAAATCCCTAAATGCACCAAAGACTGAACTCACCTTTAGCTAAAAGAAACGTCTACAATACTCTGATTTGCACCTCTTTTCCGGTTTTCAACATAGATGTGAAAAGTTCAATTTTTAATTTCTGTTCAGGCCAATAGCTAATTAGACCCTGGAAGGCAAAAAAATAATGCCCCAGCCACGTCCAGCTCCAGTCCCCGGTGTGCTCGTACACCCTGGGAAAGGGGCACCTGTGCTGGGGACACTGAGCATCCCAGCACCGAGTGCTCAGAAAGCCCAGCCATGGGTGAAGGAACTGCATAACTTCTAGGAACGGATGGCAGCGAGGATGCTTCGAGTCATTAGTGGTAGGGAAAGCCAAATTGCAAACAAGCACAGCAGTGCCATGTTCCCATAGTTAGGGACAGATGAGAGAAGGACCAGAGAAGTACCCAGTAACCTCACTCCTGCCTTTCCAGCAGGAATATTCGATTATGATGTTGGACCATGGGAAATTTATGCTGTTATCTAATTTATTACCTCTGCTAATTTACTGTTTTTTAATTAATTTATTATTTATTTTTATTTTTAAACTAATTCTTATGTTCAGAATATTAAGAATCATTAAGATAGAAACCTGTGTGTTGTCCTGCAATGCCCATACCAGTATCCTGCTGGGGAGAAACGCTGAAGCCAACCATCAGGACCAACTGTACAATCTGTCATGTTCTGCAAACACCGATGGGTTTCTCTGCCCCTTCTGAGCTCTGCAACTTCCCGCGATGCAGAACTCGCCACGACCCCGCTGGCGATCCCCGCGGGCACCAGCTAGTTAATAACATTTTCAGTGAAAAGAAAAAAAAACTGTCTGGGGACACCATTTAAAATAAAACAACGCAGCAAGCGAAATGCAAGTGCTGTGTATGTGTCTCTTCAGACCTTGGAGTCACGAGAGTTTATTTCATGTTATATATATCACACCATTAGCGCTATAACCAGAGTGAAAGTACAAATAGCTGCGGCGAGCCAAACACATTTGAAATGGATGGAACCAATTAGCTTCAAAGATGAATGGGAGGAATGAGAACCACATGTGATGTCAATGTTCACAGTCTATATTACAACACACGCATCTGTTCCAGGCACGGCAGAGAGAGATGTTACGGCTGTGCAAGTGAATCTTTCGACAAACACAAAAATACTTCTGACATGAAAAAACACAATATTATTAGACTTGGGAGCTTCTGAGTCTCGGGGGTTTGCATCTGTTCATCTCCCAATAGGAGGGGATGGATAATTTAATTGTAGAGAGAGCCACAAGGTTCATCCCATGCACCAGAAGACCGAATTTTCCTCATTTTTGCTCAAAATGGCAAACTTTTCTGAATTTATTCTAAAACAAAGTCTCTAGTGAGGCTGGGAAGAAGAGCTCCACCAAAATATCAGATGTGTGTTCCCTTCCACACGCAAGGTGCCGAGGCACAGGACTTGAAAGGCTCTAGATGCTCGCTGGCCCAACACATGTGCAGAGGAAAAAAAAAAGTCCTGTGTGCCGTACTCTTCGGAGGCCACTCCCCAGTATTTAAACAATAAAGTCTGTTAAGTGCTGCGATACTTTAGGCATATCACCCTCTGGTTATCCGCTAATCGAGGGAGCAGGTTAATTACCGTACAAATTAAGCAGAGTTTTGGCTGGAGCCTTGTCCTGCACCATTACTCCCACCTCGCCCTCCCTGGTCTCAGAGCCTTGTACATGTTGGACTGGAGAGTAAACCAGTCAGTTGCTCCCCAGTAGCTATTTTGCCTTATTTATGTAAATAACCTTTAGTTTGCTTTTTTTCTGCAATTTTCTGACATCGCCTCTGCTCGTCATGAGCTCCTTTCACTATCTGGCATGTCCTTAGCAGAGATCAAGCTTGTGGTCTTGCCTGCTGGTATTAAACACCACCATCACCACAGCATAGTTTGTTTTTTCTCCATAGGTGCTTGTGCTCTACTTTTACATTTCTTCCTAAAAATCCCACCTCTCCTCTGCCTCCTGTCCGCATGCTTTCTGCTCGTGCTCGAGGTCAAACCAGACCCCAAGGTTTAGGGAAGTCTATCCCCTTCTTTACTTCCCTTTCATCTGAAATTATATTCATGCTTATGCTCTAATCCTTCCTTGAAGGAGCTCTCAGCCCCGTTTAATCCTTCATTTCAGCTTTCTTTTGCACAGGAAGGAAAGTTGACAAGAACCGCTAATACAGAAGAGAACTGGGATATCAGAGGCAAGGCTGCGTGGCTTTGAAGGACGCAGTAATAAGCATGGGATGGGACTGAGTCATGCAAATTGCGCAGCCCTATAAATTATATATACACAGGGAATAATCAAGATTTCTGCTGTATGGTGGAGCTCTTCAGCTGGAGCTGAGCAGGACACAGTCTGCATGCAGCGAGCACAGGTTTGGATGGGATTTTTTGGCTCAGAGCGGGCCCCCAGCATCACGGGGCACTGCCTGAAAGTCTCACAAACTCATCGGTCAAACTCATTGCTGGCTTTCGTAGGTGCTAGCAGCAAGCCAGCAAGCTTCGTACCTAAGCTAATGAAAATAATTGCCACAGACGAGCTCCTGTTGTGTACAACAGCACCTGCGAGCAGCAGAAGACATCTATGGATGCTCCAGGGAAACAGCTCTGGCCCTCTGCTCCTGCAGCCCTAACATCTGCTGGGCGATTTCCAAGGGCTTCAGAAAAAAAAAACAGATGGTGATGCAACTCAAGGATATTACATATGACATGTTTTCGCTTATAAAGATTAAGAGAGTTTACTTTTTTTCCCCCCTGATTTTACTTTCTGCATGCTCCACACTGCTATGATTTACTATAAATACAAAAATATCAAAAACTTCTTTAGGACATGTGCCGATATAAATAGCACACTAAAAAAAAAACCTGCGTTCACTTATTAGTTGTGTGTGTGGATTAACAAGAAATAGTTTAAATTCTTTCAAAACAGTTCAAACTGGTTTTATTGACGGGAACAGATCTTTGTAATTACTTTTATTTTATATAAAACCTATAAAGGGCTGACCATTATAGAAAACCATCAAACAAAGGGCGAGTACCTAGGAAAGCTGCTGAACTTGCTCAAATTCGCAGTTGTCAGGAGCAGAACGAGCCAGCGAGCGCCACTACCGCGTTCGAGCAACATCCGCAGCAAATTCAGAACAAAGACATCCGCTGATGGCTTCAAGGTGCTCACCTTGGAGAGCAGTTGCAGGGAGGTGCGCCGCAAAAACCACCACGTCCTCTGCAGGCGGTGCCAACCCACTGCCCGAATTTGCTGTTTTCACTGCTCGCCAGCATCAGTACGATGTTCCTGTCCTGTTTCCGAGCACTGAGTTACTCCAGTCAGCATGTCACACATCTCCTTGCCTAAGCACAGCTCTGCTTTGGGGAATCTGTGGGACTGGGTGATAAAACCGAACCGTATCCACGCTACCATCACCGCTCTGCCTCTGGGATATGAGAAGTTACCCTCCTCCGAGGGCACAGACAGAATTGGACACAAAATCTCAGGTGATTCATAACACCACAGAGTCTCCCAGAAACTCTCACTCGTTTATAAAGTGCAATGCTACCACTAGTTGAAATCATTGAGCCCACAGCTACTTTCACAACCACCATCGGATTCTGAAGATGGCATCGGGGCATCTACGTGACTGATCTAATATGCACTTTTTCAAAACTCTCTCTTTGTGCACTACCAGAAAACCTGCAGCTTTTTCTTTGAAGTGTGAGCTTCTGGCTGTAGCTGGAAGAGGAACATCAGGTTTAATGACCACTGCTCTCAACAGCTATGGATATTTGTGCAAAGTATTTTTCTTTTTTTTCTTTTTTTTCAGTATTTGCTCTGACAGCAAGCACCTTCTAGCTGTGAAAGAGAAGACGGAAAGAGAAGCTCAAGCGTTACTTCTGAGAGTAAGATTTCAAGCGATGAAGAACCCATTACATTCTTTGATATGTTGTCTCCATGGGCAAGATCAAAAAGTCCACTTAAAAGTGGACTGAGTAAGTCCACT